AACAGAAGTTTAGGTGGACGGATTTTATATGAAAGAAAGATTAGATCATGGTAAGAGAAGGCTTCGGCAGATAATTAACCATGCTTGGCGACATGCTGAAGAGAGGAGACAATAATGAGAAGAGAGGGAGAAGTGTTTGGAAAGTAATAAGTTACATTTAACGTAGGGACAGACAAATTTGTTGGAGAGAACGAAACTTTTTCGATCGAGAGCCATTTTTAAGAAGGCAACTGTTAAGATCTCCCATTATTATTGTGTGACTGTAACAGGGTATGTCCCTGTTAATATAAAGTAAAAAAAAAAATATGCGCTCGAAGATATATGGCAACGCCATTTTCAGCAACTAGCATACGATCGTTCCTTATTAAGTTAAATCCAGGCAGTGCATAAAGGGTCGTGAGAGAAAAAGCTTAAGGCAATTGAAATTCATCAGCATATCTAAAAAATGAGCTGAAATACTCTGGGCATTTATATGGACAACGTTGAAATTCTTCGATACATCAGAGAAACAAGAATTAAGTGATTATAATTATTTTTATAGATATATTACGAACATAACGGAATATCCTGTGATCCGTGAAATGATTTTGAAAATGCCACTGAATTATTATGATCGCTACTCAAGAATAAATTTGCTTTAAAAAGTTATTAATGGGTACTCGAAGTTTAAAGCAAGTTTGCTGAAGAATTGAAATGATTGAAGTCATCAATTTGCTATTCGAACGGACTTTATCGTTATTCTAATATTATACGTAAATGAACGCATGAACTTTTCAATTAAAATGTGCGCAATACTTAAATATTAATTTCCCATCTTCAAAATAAACATTTACAATTTTACAGTTTATTTGAGGATTGACTCTAAGCTTGTATATTACTATAATCAAAAACTCAAATTCCTAGTCTATCCAAGTTTATAAACACCCTGTCGTAACATCAATCAAGGTGCACATTCGTTTCCGTTATGTCTATGGATTTAAGTCTTTGTTTACATGAGAGTTACGAAGATCTTGAGGCCACTGCAACAGCTAATGTCTGACTAATAATATCTACTACTATACTACATCTGATTAGGTTCCAACTTTAGAACGGCTGTTCACTTCAGCATTTCAAAGAAATAGGTTCTTTTGGGGGGAAAACATAGAAAATTAGGAGGAATACCTATTGTAAGCAACAATTTTCTATTAAAATACAAACTGATAGCGTTAGTCATAGTTAAAAAATCACTCAACAAAATGTAACTATAAATGTAGACACTGAAATGAAAACTAAATATGTTAAAAATTAAATGTTTAATTCCTTAGTACAATTGCTGCTATAATTTTTTATGTAAAATCATATGTGTACAAACGCTTAAATAATGTTCAAAATCCGTATGAACATGGACTGGTCAATTAGTTTAGATACTTTTAATTATAAAACGTATTTCTTTACCAATAGGCGACATAAAGAAAAAGTTTAGATATCTCTATTAATATTATAAGAAGAATTATGTGTTTTTTTCCTTATTTTTATTATTATTATAGTTTTGAAAATTCTTTCGCCAGTATAGTGTGGCTGTATAATCAAGAAGTAACATCGGCTATTATTGATGACAGCTTTACTTACTTTAGATAATAAATAATAAAAATTGAATTTATTTTCCTCACAAATACAGGAACATGGTTACATGTTTATTGACTAAACACAATTTACAAAAAGAAGATTGATGAGTGTTTTTTATGTATTTTTTATTTGAATATGACTTGTGTCACTTATCTTTCTTTATTTTGTATTTAGGTACATTTGTCCACGCTCGATAACGGCTAAATAAGAATGATAGTTAACTACAAGATTGCCACAATTACCTTGTTTTTATTGATACTACCATTCTAATATGTAGACACTGATTAAATAACCATGAAAGGTTAAAATAATATTAATTGGCCATATTTATTCATTAACAGACTAAATCCAAAAAGAGGATGTTCTTAATGTAAGTATGTATATTTTATGTATGATCACTGATTTCTTTAATTTATATAGATTTTAATTTATAAAAAGCGAAAACTTATCAATATTTCATAGTATATATAATGTACTAAAATATTTATCCAACAAATCATATAGTATGCTAAATGCCATTCGATGTAGTTTACTAAAAGGCAAGTAACTATTTCATAACATCCTTACAGTGGAGACAATGAAGACATCATTTGAATGACTACTGTATAAACAAACGTACAAACGTAACCACCACGTGGTGGGCAGAAATCTAGTAATAGTTCGTGAGGTTTAGGTAAACAAACAACCAACTAGTGAATCTCGTGATTCACTTTTTGCTCAACATAAACAATTTGTTAGTGCGGTCGGTGTAAGGAATATCACATCTCTTTTCAATACTGAATTGATATTTAACCTTTTTGATAGAGCCTGATGACGCAGTCATTATCGATTTCAGTCTTTTAAAATTAACGTCCACTGTGTCCGCACGCATATCATAATATGTTATGTTAATGTTATAAACTCATACGATATGTATACATTATAATTATATGCAACCGGGTCTTGTTCGAGTATTTTTTTAAAACTATTTATTTACCTCGATGTTTCGGCTACGTTGTTAAAAATATTATTACCGGATTACCCTCACGTCTCAACTTTTATCAGAAGACGACACCCGCCAGTTCTCCAGTCTCCTCGTGACCACGACTGCTGCAACATAGCCGAAACGTCGAGGTAAATAAATAGTTTTAAAATAATGCACGAACAAGACCCGGTTACAAATAATTATAATATAGCACTTATATTTTGTACGGCGGGTTTTTCCGCAACTCTTCACCCTAACAATATCATGCACGGTACGCAACGGATTGTATGGATTTTGCCGATGTCATACATCCACTGCAAATTAATATTAAATAGGAGTACCGCATGAGATTTTTGGACATAGATAACGCTGTGAAGTATTGTACTCTATGGAAGATATCCGTATAACGTCTTCAGCACAATCGCATTTTTAACGCTTATACAATGGTTTTAGATTTTTTTAGTGAATATATTTTATGATGATTCGATATACAAATTACACAATTAAATTAAAGTTTTATTTCTTAGTTGTCGTCCCTAATGTATGCTTCTTTTGTGAATCAGCGGTCCACATTCACACAGGAGATATTTTGGTGATTCACGCGCCTGTTTAAAGTATCTGCAAATATCAGTGTCACTTAATTTCATAAGCAATTGGTTTCTGTTTGATTTGCAGTGCCCAGTTAAAGCTCTCAAAGAATTACACTAAAGAATCTGATAAACTCAAAATCATAATACAATATTCAGAACATTAAGATTCATTTCTTTTTCCAACTGTATTACAAATGAAAAATACCTCCAACTGTGTAATGATATTTACACTTTTATGAATGCATGCTCCAACAAACCGTGCTTTGAAGTTATAATTACCGTTTTAACGAAGCTCGATGAGTCTTTGTTTTAAATTATGATCTCATTTCGTCAACCTACTTTCAGTATTTACGAGGGAGACAGGATTGTATGACAGCCTGGTTTGAGATTTTGTAATGTTCAACGTAGGTATTAAATTCTGCTAATGTAGGTATGCATTCAGATAAACATAAATACAACCACTATGATAGATTATAATAACATATTTATACGGAAACTGTGATTAACTTAATCAAAATCTGTATAGTTAAAGTAATTGAGTTTTTAACATATACTATCATGTAGTTAGCTTAAATATATATATATAAAAGAAAGTCGTGTTATTTACACCATTTATAACTCGAACGGATGGACCCTTTTTTATGATATTTGTATTTTTGGATTTGTCTTCGTCGGGAATAAGATAATAAGTATTAAATATTATATTTTATCAACAAAAATAAAAAAAGACTTATCATAATAATACGCAACTGGCAGTTCACGTAATGTTGTCTAAGTCTTTGGTTTATTTTAATTTATCTCTTAATCCTTTAGCTAATTCATTGGATGTTAGGCGGAACGAAAAAGTTTATATAATTTTACATTCAAATTTCTTGGGCGGAACAAAGTTAGCCGGGTCCACTAGTTACAAATAAGTTGTATGTGTTACCGACAATCTGTATAATTCAGGTATTATCATTCTATAATTCAGGTATTTCCAATACCTAGGAAATGTATGGAATACTGGGGGCGTTCAGGGAAGGTATGAAATATTATGAATATTTTGACCCATAACATAGGTACTTTTCCTAGGTAATGTATATAATTCGTAAAGATTGTATAGAGCACCTGCTGTTCCACCGACAATGTGTAAAATAAATAGATCTTGGTCTAGTTTTATCAATCGGTTATGTGCAACGTTAGAAATATAGGTTAAAAATCGAATGAATTGAGATTATTTTTGTGTTAATATGCTGTTGTGTATCGTGTACATCGGCGATTTTTAAACTCAGTCCTTCTAACACAATATCTGAATCGTAATTGTCGCGAACTCTTTTCCATTTTACCTATAAATAATGTGAGTAATGAAGAAGTTGCTCGGTGTGACGTTCAGCTTGCTATGGCGGAACATAAACAACAAAAAGTGTTTAATCACGCCTTTTTATTGCTTCATAATCTTTTACTCTACAGTCGTTACTGTCTTCTATTTAACACTAAGCCTGTCTGATCAGAGATTAACCTAATCTTTATGATTCATTCTATAGAGAAATTAAGAGCCTGACAATCGATCAAAGGAGCTCAATGAAGCAGTGGCTAGCGCACTCGGTCTGCAATACGGTTGTTATACAACTCTCTCAATGACCGATCATAGGATGGGTGACCAAAAATTTACTATCTCGATCTCCTCCGTGCTTCGGAAAGCACTTCAAGCCATTGGTCTCGGCTGCATCTGCAGTCGTTAATACCCAACAACCCTCATTTGGCCCGCGTGGTAGGTTGAGACCCATTTTTTCTAGTCGATCAAATTCAATTGCATCCATAGGGAAGACCTAAATCCCAACGTTGAGGTCATTAATACTTACCCTATGCTTGTCCTTAGATGCAGTGTAAAGCACCCAAGCTACGTAGACGAACATGATGAGGGCAGGTACCACGAGACTCGCCACTATTGGGATACGTCGTACCCATGCGTGGTACATCGCCAGGAGGAACAGTGAGATGCCAACTAAAATGGCAATGTAACGACCAGTACGGCGACGCTCCTCCTAAAAAGGAACAACATTCAAAATTAATATATAAATTACAGGGTGAGAAGCTAAAAGATTTTGCTGTTCAATTCTGGTTTCCAACCAGTTATTTTTAAGTTTTTGGCTTTGTTATGTGATTTATTCACTGTTATATTTAAAGCCAAGGTTTTTTAATTATTGTAAATTTATTATTATTACGATTAATTAATTGTTATATTTATAATTGTCATACTTATATTTAAATTAATAAGTGTACACACCTACAACAATAAGATTTAATTCCGACAATGTTTCCATTGAATGTCCATTGATAGTTAGTACCTTTTACAAAGACCAGCAAATGGAAAGGTGAACAAAAAAGTACTATATTAATCTATTCCGTAATTTCGAAGGCACGTTATCTGTTGACTTTGACTGCATATACAGTTGCTGCGCCCGCCAATCCGCAAAAGACACGCGCATCGCGTAGTACCTTTACGTTTGTTTGCACGGGTCTCCGTACCTTCTGCAATGCTATTTTCTTATAAAAAAGCAGTCTCGAACTCGATGTCGAGTACAGCGCTGCTATAACATAGATATGCAATCAAAAAAGCCTACTTAAGCTCTATAATGTGCCAGTGCTGAGCTCAACGTCGAGTTCGGAGCTGTTTTGATGAATAGCATTGTTCCTTGACCATCGGGTTCAAAATCAGAAAAAAAGCACACTAAATAAGAAGGGTATCTATTTTGCACCCAAATAAATTATTAAGTACTAAATTCCTCCTAAGCCAAAATCCGATTCAGATTACACGACGACAAAGTTTCCGTTAACTAATACAGTTCCTAAAACAATTAAGTCCGTCAATCGGTTCCACTAACTCACTTGCCAACTCGAACTTTTTCTTTGAATTTCTAATGGAAACAGAATTGTTACTTATATTGTTCAATCAAGTAGCGTTCGAACCTATTAATTATTATCTATAGTTAGAAGTTAGTTAAGAAAAGGCATGCCATATGAATTATGTGGTATATTAATAATATCCATTTATTTTTCTCTTCAAAACTAATAATAATAATAATTACATTTAAACCTAAACGAGACTGGTGCCTATAAAAGATACCATGGGTATCTGTCACTAACAGGTCGTCTGGCCCATATTACGTAATGTTGTTAACAAAATGTATGTTATATACTATACGATAGTATGCCAGTCAAATAAGAATAGTACTGTCAAACGTCCATCTTGGTTCGTATTACGCTTCAACTTCAGGGTACACCGTACTAGGTGTGCAAAAAAAGGGAATGAAATTATAGATTTTTTATAAATCAACCCAATATCGTACTATGGTAACGGATTACCGCACATCGACATTTAGAATTGAACCCGAAGTCATAAGAAGAGCAACGCGTTTAAGGTTAACGTTAATAATGCAATGAAAATAAATAAAATACCAAGAGATCAATTTAAAAAATATATTTTATAACTAATATAATATATATTTTTTAAATCCAAAATATATTTAGGTAATAATAGTAATCTCGCTGATTTAAAAATCAACTAAAATACATTTCATTTGTCCTGCAGTCTAATAATAAGTTTCTTTAGATTATATAATGTCTATTTCTTATTTTCTGTTTAGGATCATACTATCTTGAATTATCTGATTTCACACGACTTTGATAAATTTAACGTCCACGTAAGCAGCCTCTTGTGAGAAATTAAAATCGTTCTAATAGTAAACAAACATACAATCAAATTTTTCTCCAATGTATTATATAGATGTTCATTTTTGTTTTAATAACTTCACTTTGCTCGTTTGCAAGCAAAACTTTTATTTTTAATCTCTACAATAAACGTTGTATTCCATACCAGATTTTCCTTATTTTAATAAATATGGCATATTATTTGTTTCGAGTTTTCATAACATACTGCCGTGATCCCTTTTGTTGATTTTGCGTACCAAGGACAATAACGCCAGATAATTTCTCCAGAGACCACATACTCATGTATTATTCTTTTTGCCAAAATAAAATCATATTATCTTAAGCACATTGGAAATGATACCAAGAAAATTTCACATTGGTTGATATTCGATTATTATTTAATCAAAATATAGGCGACTTTTCAGAGGTGTTCTTTTTCAAAAAATAAAACCGCGTGCATTTCTCATGTAGGTTATTGATTAATTTATAAACCGCCCGATTTCAACAGAAATTTCTGGAATCTTTCAACTACTTTTTAGATAAATATTGTATTTTTTTTTAAGATTTCATGACATTGGTTCTGTATGACGTCTTGTTACTAAGCTGAATGAATACCTTTATAGGGTCACTTTGTGTGTTATTTCTTCATTCTATTGTTAATGCCTTTTCGTACTGTATCCATAGGGAAGACTTGGAACAATGGGAACGTTAATTAGCCGATGATGGTGATTTACTACAATATATGAAAATTTCCTTTTAGATCTCTAACTTTAAATATATTGTACTCTGTAGGTATGTATCTTCATTATAATAAAAATAGTTCTAACATATTTGGCAACCTCCTTTGTAGCTTAAATTAAAGGTCAACATTATTTGCGATATCGGAAACGAAACAAAATGTTAAGGTCCAATTTCTTAACAAGGAGGTCATAGTTCACATGAAGAGGTTCACATCGAAATAATCATTAAATTAAAAAATAATGAAACTACAACAATTCTGAATGGTAAGTAGAGTAGGATTTAAGAATGTTTCGCTGTAGTGAAAAAGGATTATTTTTATTTAAATTACATTTGGCATTTATTATATTTGACAAATTTTGCATTCACAATACTATACAATCCCATCTCAAAGTACCAAGGACAAAGTGGATGTTTAAGTATTTTTAATCATGAATATTTTCTTTTGTGAGTTGTTCATTGTTATTTTCTTTTAATAATACGTTGAAAGAACTTTATTTTTGCATAAAAAAAATAATTTTAAAAGTTTGCCTTTAATATAAATGAAAACCTGACACCTACGGGCTATAATATTAAGAAATGACTGACAAAGTATTATATAATAATTATCAGCCTATTAATGCTGGACCACAGGCCTTGATTATGAATAGAATTGGTCTTGATAATGAATTTATGAAAGCAGTCGGGACTAAGGAACGACACGGAGGAGCTCGAGGTAGTAAATTTATGGTCACCCATCCTCATACTGACCGTTGCGAAAATTGCTTAACTTTCGCATCGTTGACTGAACGAGCTGAGTTGCTTTCATACCTCGTGTTAATCATAGTTACTTTCCTTCATTATCTGTACTTATTCAAATAATTTATCAAACTCAACTAGGTTACTGTTAAGTAAACCAGTAGTAAACCAGGGCATAAGTCTCTGCCTGCCTAACAGAACACGCCTAACTAAACCAGAGTTGATGAAAATTTCTATAAAAATATGGTATTGTCTAAGATTTTTTATTTTTTATTTAGACGTTAATAAAAATAAATATTTGTTATCATCACCAGCCCTTTTACGTCCCCACTGCAGGGGCTCAGGCCTTCCTTATGGATGGTTAAGGAGGATGGGCCATAACCCTCCACGCTGGCCCAATGCGGATTGGAGGGTATTAACGACTGCAAATGCAGCCGGGACCAACGGCTTAACGTGCCTTCCGAAGCACGGAGTAGCTCGAGATAATAATTTTTTGGTCACCCATCCCGTGACCAACCCTTGCGAAAGTTGCTTAACGACTACGATCGCGGGCCGCGGCGCTCGACCTTAATAATGCTAAAATAGGAGATAAAAATTAAAAGATTTCCCCAAAAATCAAATCACTGTACCGAGAAATTATAATATCACGATATAAGAAAATTGTTTGTTCTTACTCGTCTAACGACAAAAGGATCATATGTATTACCATAATGACATAGAAACAATAAGTTGCAAAAGCTCATTTGTCTATGAAATCCTCATAGCAGACAGGGGCTCAATGAAAATTGAGTGATTCTTTAGGAGCGAAAGCGTTTGAAATAGCTACACAGAACTTGGAAACTTATTACAAAATAAAACAAACTTTAATTTCTCAGGCTTTCTCAATTAATCTTAGTCTCTTTAGTTAATGGAATTATAAATGTTCGTAGGATTAACGTAAAGACACTTTTGGGATTAAAACGTTTGGGCTTGAAAAACATAAAGAAGATATTTTAATATTCATAATGATGCCTTTATTTGAAGTAAAAAGAATTACTAAAATCTCTAATACATTATTATATTTGATCAACTTCTCATTCACTATGTTATACTGACAAAAATATTCTTATTAAAATATTATATTTTTAATAATTTTGCATTCACAATGCCATACCGAAAATTATTTTTAATACAAAATGCTTAAAAAATCCACTTGGTCCCTGGCACCCTGAGATGGGAATCGAACCCACGACCTTTCGCAATCCGGGCGACTGCTCCAACTACTGAGCTATCCAGGACCTAACAGGACTGACGCATCTTTCAAGCACTTGTTACTTTTCGCTACTACACAGCATATTCTCATCAATGTTCAGGCATCCACCCAAACAGCCGAAAGAAATATTGTTACAAATATTGAACTTTCGATAAAGATGAGAATTTTGTTTTAATTATTATATTTTTATTAATTTTGCATTCACAATGCCATACTGAAAATTATTCTTAATACAAAATGCTTAAAAAATGCCATCTCAGGGTTCCAGGACCAAGTGGAATTTTTAAGCAGTTTTATTAATAATATCTTTAATACAGTTCCATATTCCTTTGTTTTTACCCGATTACAGCGAAGCAAAAAGTATGGTTATGATTTTGGCCGGTATGTATCTATGTATTATATGTATGAATGTTCATCTATTCCGCTATAACATCAAAACTTCTTATCGTAACTAGACTAATGAGGTATCATTAGAAGCGTTATAGTTGTCCGCGTGCTATAGGCTATGTGACGTGACATTAAATTGGCAACAGCCTCCTATCAATCAATCAATCAATCAAAAATTATTTATTATTACCTATTGTATTACACATTACATATGTATTATTACATATTGTGTTACATATTACATATTGCTTTAAGTCTTAGATCTCTGACCCTGAAACTAGAGAATCTGTATTATCAGGGCCAGCGATTCCTCGGTAGGTTGTTTATAAGGGAATGTGATGACGCTGAAAAACTTAATATAGGCAAGGTAAAGTCTTAAGAACTTTAGAAATGTGTGTGTGTGTGTGTGTATGTGCGTGCGTGCGTGTGTTTGTGTGTGTGTGTAAGTGTGGGTGTGTGTATGTGGGTGTGTGTGGTTAGGTGAGTGGTGTGTGCGTGGGTAAGCCTGTGATTAGATTTTTTTTTTTTTTTTTTTAATTATGCTAAAGTTGAGTGAGTACCAATGTGCGTGAATATTATTTAGAGAATTAAATATTTAAATAGATTAATGGCATGAAATGTTTTTATTATTATAAATATTTAATATTCAACCACTTTTACCTTTCAATTCAAGAGGTTTTCTGTTTCTGTATAGGTGAGTTTCAGAAGGTAGCTGGTAATTTTGTTTTTCGCTTCATACCTGTTCAGGCAGTAAATGGATGTGAACTTGTGCAATTTATTATATAATACCGTGGAGAGTGCGTCAAATTGACGTTTAGCGAAAGTAGTTTTACAAGGTATTGAACGGTATACTTGAGCAGAAGCGCGTCTACGCGAGAAGGTATTAAAATCTAAGGGGAGAACATTGTGTCTCCGCAAAATACAGCGCAAAATAAAGAGTTGCCGGACGGTTAAAGTATAGAGAGCAATAAAGTAAGAAACTAAAAAAAAAAAAAAATTTTATACATGACCACTGCAAAAAATGATGACAAGATATATAGCACTTAATCAGTTAATTCGGGAATGAAAACATTTTTTTTTTTCTGTCCGTTAGATTATTTTAAAAAATTGAACACATCTTTTTTTGGCTAGTCTATAAATTATGGCGATATATTGAGGTAAAATGTTACATGTCGTCACACTTGTACATTTTCTACTAAGCCGTGACGTAGCGAGCCCCTACCCCTCAATATTAATCTATTTCTTAAAAAGTGTCTTCTGATGTTTAGTTGATGGACAAAACAGTTTTTTTTTTATATAGGCATCATCCCCTAACATTTTTATTTTTCCAATTTCAAATAGCTACTTATGAATTAAATAACTTAAAAATTAAATAACTTGATAATGGACTTCTAAAACCAATTGTGGAGTTTTGTTATTATTTGTGGAATAATTAAGTGAAGTTTTTGATTGGAAGCACACTCGAACAATTCTCGATTTATTTGTATATATATTTTTGTAGTGTTAAAATTACTACTGACATAAACGGAAAGCTTAACGTGCCTTCCGAAGCACAGAGGACCTCTAGATATTAAGTTTTTAGTAACCCATCCTATGTCCGGCCATTGACCGGTATCGCAGTTCGAGCGCGCTTGCCACTACACTATCGAGCTCCTCGATATCGGATCGATCGATATCGATGCGGAGAATATTTTTAGAACAGCAAAGATAATTTTGTCTTTCAGTCGGATTATTTTTACCTGCCTACTCACACTCCTCTTAAAATACCAGTATTGTGTTAAGTATTAAGGACTAATTTTAGTTGGAGATAAACTCGGAAAAAAATGCTAGAAAGAGGAAAAACGGATATTATAAAGAAGGCTGAAAAGAAGAGATGTAAGAATTAACATGATACCGAAGGCGTATTCTATTTGGCGGCAAACGAAAATTCGGAAAATTCCAAATCAATCTTATAATTTTGTTTACAGAATAAGGTGATTTTTTTACGAGTTAGGTACCAAATAGAAACTAATGTAAGTGTATTAATTATATCACGTGAAGAAGTGATTTTCACAAAACGTATGTAACAAGTCATTTGTTCCTGAGCCTCTTTCCTCGTGTCTTCTAAGTAATGTTATTATGAAAGTCTGTTCATCTTACCCAATATATCCTTTTGATCATATTACCGTGATATTGGTTTCATAAAGACTCCATAATAGCTGAATGGTATCACTATTAGAAACTATTCGCTTCAGTAACTTTGGTGATGTCTAAGACTGAGAAAAATTAACCTGACATTCTCAATGGCTTCTATAAGATCTGTTAATATTAATATTTTCTAACGAGTTATTAATTAATTGGATATATTGTAATGAAATATTTTATATTCTTAATTATCTGCTACTTATATTCACATTAAAATGATAAATGAAACAACTTTTGAAAGGTTTCATCGCGTTTGTATTTAGTTTTATTAATGTTTCGGTTTCTTTACAGGTTCCGTGTTCACATAAGAATAGGGCGTTGATTTATGTGAACACGGATAACGAGATAATTAATAATATAAAATATTTCAAAGAATTATAGATAATAAACCATCCCCTTGAATTAGTCTGTATAGTGATAAAAATAGCATTCAAATCTGTGGTTTACCTTACAAGATCTTGTTTCACAAGCGATTTTGTTTGATACAATATGTGTAGATACAGGAGTATATAATTTTTTTTAATTTTAATAAATATACCAAACAAAAAAATTAATACAAAGCCAAATTCAAATAAAAAGAACATGTTAAGTTTAGTTTATACTCTGCTCCGAAAGAAATATCGTCATTGTTTCTTTGAGCTCCTCTGTCTCATTCATTCATTTTAAACCAAAGGTACTGCACGAAAATATATTACATCCCAGAGGCATTCAATGTTATTGGTCACATCAAGGAGTCAATCAACAGAGTCGTGATTCAATCGTCGCTGTTAAAACAAAGGTATTCCAGGCTCAGACTACAACCTGTGGGGATACCCTGAAGCATAATACACGGTAATTGGACAGTATTCCTTTCAATGTTCTATTGGTTGCCTTTAATAAAGAATATAATAGTTTAAGCAAAAAATACCGTATTCGCTCTGAAGAACTTCGTTCGTTTGCGGAAGTTAAACAACTTTTGCAAAGTCAGTCATAAGATGGGTGACCAAAGATTCACTATCTCAAGTTCCTACGTGCTTCGAAAGGCAAGTTAAGGCGTTGTTCCCGGTTGCTCCTGCATTAATTAACGCCCATCAATCTGCACTGAGCCCGCTTGATGGGTCATGTCCCATTTTCCCTAATCGATTCAAAAACATCTCTATGAAAGCCTCTGGCCCAAAACAACGAAGGTACCATAACATCCAGAAGCAAGTAATAAAAAAAGTTCTTATTCTACGTTGATCCGGCAATCGAAGGGGACCCCGGGAACTCTGAACGCCATTTCACACTTTTATACATTCCAAATGTGTTTAAGTTTTTAGTTTATATGTGAAAACTCCTCGAGTGGGTCACACGTTGGTTTCAAGGTGTTGTCATCTCTGAGGTTTCGATTCCCGGTCGGGTGAATGTTGAAAATTAACTATATTGTCTCGGGTCTAGGTGTTGTGGTACCTTCGTTGTCTCATATACTCCATTACACGGGGCCTTAGCTACTCATCTTGGAATCTGAGCAGTGTATGTGATGTTGTCTAATATTTATTATAATGTTACTTTATTGTTACGGATAACTTTGTTGTTTGCCCTTATCACGTAAACTAAACGGGACACTAGTATTCAACTAGACCCAGGGTCATAACATCTTTGACGTGTGATTTATAACAACAGCTCACAGCAAAATTTCAATAGTCCAACAAACATGTAGCAGAAACTACGTATTACACCAAATCAAAAAGGAGTTTTTAATGTATAGTAAATTAAAAACCTTTGAAGCGAAGAGTCTTGTAGAAATGGGTTTGTTTAATAAAAATTTACGATAAGTACTAAATAACGGGCTTATAAGTAATATAAAAATAACAAATACAGAGCAACTATTAAGCTTAAAACAATATTTGTTTAAAGCTTAATTTAAAAGGTACATCCCGCAAATAAACTGTCATTCTAATTAAATTTTTGTATCAATATCAAGGATTACAAAAATGACATTTACAAAACATATAAAAAAAAATAACTAAAAAGATCGTTAATAACTTTAATTTCGTTTTAATCGTGTTTGCCTTTTTAAGATAAATGAAACGGTTTTCTGCTGAGGTCCCTAACCTCGTTTAATGTTGTATATGTTGTATTCATGCTGTAATAAGGGATCATGTGGGACTTCAAATCGAATTGACAGATTCACTTAAGCCTGCCTAAAGATACTTCTATATCCCAATAAATTCAAAAGGCCCTTCTTTATCTTGTATTTATCCTTGTGTAAAGGCTAAGGGGTTGCACCAAAGCCTTAGGGGATTACAAAGCTAAATGAAGTAAGCCTATCGCAATCTACACTGTTCTGCCTCTTACCTTTATCGTTGAAAGACAAATTTATTAAAAAAGTTATATGTCTTATTATATGTATGTTTTAAACTTCAGTTATTTTTGTTTTTGAATAAAGGTAAGTGTTTATTAATTTTATAATATATATTTTATCATAAATGTTAATTTTATTGTTATAACTAAAAATATTCGATTTTTAGATAAGTACCTCTAGTTTGTCTATCTTTTTAACCTTTAAATTGTATGTAAGAATTTCGAGGTTTGTAACTCTGTCTGACTTTTACAGTCAAACCTCTAAACAAATTTAATAAAATTTGATACGAAGATAGAGTTGACCTTTGGAAAGGATCTAACCTTTTATCGAGAACAAGCGGGCGGATAGGGTGAAATAAGGGATGAAAGTTTGTATGAAAGTTCGACATTGCAAATTACTATAACACGTTACAATTAATAATAAACATGTAGTCAAATATAGCACCTCCCAATGAGGATAGAAGGCTTTGTATAACAATAGCAGAATGAAAAAATGAATTGAATTTACCTTTACCGATGAAACAGGATGATTTAACGACAATATTCGTTGAGTTTCCTGTAATTCATTGTTTAGTTTCAAATTCATTTTTGAGAATATTCTTATTCTTAACTGTTTACATAAATTTAACTGTTAAATAAACAATAGACAATCAAAAAGAACACGTAATTAAAAAAAAAAACTTTCACCGAAGAGGTTTTTAAATGAATAAAAAAGTTACGACTGCGTTAATTTTTATAAGAATCGCGTCGAGTCGAGTGAGCGCGCGCACTGTACGAAGAATTTATCGTTACTGCATAATGAAATCACGGCGTGTTTGTTTACTTAGCAGTCTCGCAGTTAAAATCACGTAAACCCTCACCAGGAGTCGAACTCCTCGGAACAATGATGCGATTAATCTTTCGCCATTAATCGACATGAAGTATACCAGACAACATTTTTACTGCCGTTCGAAGATAACCAGCGCTCTATTATAAACGGATTGCCAAAAAATACGCAATTTCCGTGTGATTTATAATTTTCAAACTTAAGCGTAATCTCTATGGAATGCCTCGCAATTTTGTATAATAATTAAATGGTTTTTTGTTTCCTACTTATGAAGCTCAATTGCCCTCGTGTAATACATAAATTTATATAAACTACATTATTTATGTTTTTTCGAAAGGGACGATGCTGACGCATTGATTACCACGTTAAGCTCGCGATACATAAATTAGACAACATTTCAGGGCCTTTATTACCTATGCTAAAAGCTTAATTATGGTCGGTCGATAGCACTTCAATAACAAGTCTTTTTGCCGCAATTTTTGTTACTAGACTACAAATAAACATATCTGTCTTTTTGTTACTAGACTACAAACAAACATACCAGTACTGAATCGTGATTATATTGCACTAATAATGCCTACTGGACCTTAGATTGATATTACAATGACAAAATGCGGTTAATTGAGATACCATTGAGGTACTATTATTATGTTAACAGTGGCATAATTGAGGTGATTCCATGGTATTCTGTTATAACAGCCTCGAATATATAATTTTAATATCATAGCTGATCAGCAGATGGATTACCTAAAATATATGGTGCTCTTCCTTGATCCGAATAACATATTAAAACTGAAATAAATATAAAAGAGAATACAAGACAAAATCAAAGCGTAGGTACAGCAATTAAATAGATAGGAACAGAGGTTGGCATAAAATCCTCCGTAAAGCCTTCGGCTAGGCCTAATCCATAGAAGGAATATAATTGAATCGTATAGGGAGAATGGGCCATAGCCTACCAAGCGAGCCTAGGGCCGAAAGGTGGATATTACTAGCTGCAATGCAGCCCGAACAGAGGAGTCCAATTCAATACATTATTTGGTCTCTCATTTTTTCATCTGTCGTAGGAGATCAATTTCATAAATATTTGATGTCTACGTCACAGCTTGCGCCATATACTTCAAAAATTTACACAATTTATAAATACTCCTTTTAAAAAAATATATAATTTCGAGAAGAAATGGAAAAAATGCTGAATCTCAGAGTTATCTTTATTTAATAACAACTTATAATTCGCACTAGGCTCCATATCCAACAGTAGATATTTAATAGAGTAAATAAATCCTATTACGATTTTTGTATGAAGGACACTTCACTACAATTTTATTTGTAAGCCTAATACATGTTCTCAATAATGACCGCACATCATCGACTCGCCGAAAATCGTGCGAACAATTTCCCTCGCTATTGAGACTCATCCAAGCTACAAGAATAATATTTTTATTTTATTTAGGAACACTCTGGAAAGGTTTTCTTTAACACAGGTCGGCTCATTAAAATCCATTGTGTTTTCCCATGTTTTATTTTTATTCTCTTCTATTCCCAAGATGAGTTCAGTAATTTTCACCAGGGAATTTGTAATAGAATAACGAGATAAGTTAGCACATTGGATATATATTCTGTAATGTTGGATATCTTTGTTTCCTGCTATGCTATTCTATGAAAACTTTTGCAGGTTTATTTGATTTTACCTTTAATACTACGATAATAATGAAGTTGTTTTTATTGCAGAATACATTTGCCTAAGTTGACATCCAACATCATTGATTAGGTACTCTCAGTTATTACCTTTGCCTATGGTTTTGGTTATTCTCGCGCGATGGTATTCTCGCCTATGGTTTTGGTTATTCTCGCGCGATGTATGGCCTTCGGGACATCGCTGAGTTTTAGTGGGTAAGCTTCTGTTTCTTGTCTAGCCCCTTCGGGGGTAGGGCCACAGGAGGAGTCCCACATCACCCGTGGAGCCCGCGCATTTATCGGTGTCAAAAAAAAAAATGGTTTTGGTTATTCTTATAGAATTTACAAACGCAAAAAAACACGCTACACGGCCGAACAAACTGAGTTCGGACGGCCGGTGTACAGCATTTTGTAGTAATTTTAAAGTTATATTATCGTTATTAATAATAGGATAAATTGGAGTTAGAAAATTATGAAAAAAAACAAACATTCTTAATATTGTAAGGACAATGTAGAAAAAGAACTTTTCTTTATCGTCTCGGAGCTGGCACCCTCGATATTTCAGATTACCATAATGCATTAGCCGCTTAATTTAGAGTATGGTTTTAAAGTTGTCTAATATTTATTTTATTTTTATTAATATGTATTGTAGGCTCTCTGTAAATTTTCTCATTGCGTACTTTGTAAACGTAATCAAACTGATTTAAAAACTCAACATTATGCGAGTCGTGCACAGAATTACATGACTGTTATTTAGCCTCCCTGTATATTTCATATATGTGTGACAAGTGACATTAACAAGCCAATTTGCGCACACGGCTGCTCAATTTCGTCGCTAAATTACTAAAATACATTAGGATACTAGTATCGTTCTATTGGGCCACCGTTCTCTTTACAAATTTGAAATTTTTTAAAACAGTAGACCTTTACAATACTTATCAGAATCGATAAATAGTATTAGGCACTCGCTGGCGGTTGCCGCGATACGTTCGATTTGCTGCTTCGTCTCACTTTTAATTTTAGTCGCAGCACCTCTAGTAGAAGTTTTAAGTTTTCGAAAACTAATTACCTACGTTACCATACATTTCACAGTAGCCCCTCTAGCGGAAACCATAATGAAATAGATATTTTTTTTTAAACTATCTGACTACTTATTAAGCCTCTGCTACAATCTCGTCGCTACATACTGTTACATACTGATTAAAAATGCCCACAAGCAAGATGGAATGTCAAGTCTGGCCTTTGCAACAATAGGAAAATCAGTGTGATAATGCTACGGTAAATACCTTATTCTATGGTATTATGCAAAATAATGATTTTATCGTTATTCAATTTATAGTACAAATTAATGTTTATTATTAGACATACATTGACAACGCCATTTTTAAATAAATACCTAGGTATATTTTTTAAAAGAAAAGATATTTCTAGGCAATTTTATTGTAAAATAGGATTATTAGTATCCCTTCATAAGAAATGACCCCATAAAAACTATTGAATTTAATGGTGTTTTTATATCAAAATACTTGGAAAGATCACAATCATATTTTATGTTATTATCAATTTATATATAATATTAAGAATCTATTTAGTGTTTATATTTTGTAGCCTCAAGGTACACTCAAAGTACTATCTGTGTTTGGAAATTCCAGTTAACTTTTGAAAACTAATAATTTCAATATTATTACATCTTTTATTATTAATTATAATTAACAATATTTGGAAAGTATTACATAAATGTAATTGCGTTCATAACACCTAGGTGCAGACATTGCCTTTTTATCTTGTTAAGAAAATTGGTTTTAACATATACGCCATCCTACAAAATCTTCTATATTTTCTTGGAAACCTTTCCCTCACGTACCTACCTACCTACGTGCTTGCGTGAAAACGAACATCATTAGGGTTAAACTGCTTACTTGTAAAAATAAAAATTGTAAAGGTACTGTTTTTATATTCTAGGCATGAATTTGATTGTCCACGCGAAGTTAGACTCCTTTTTTTTAGACTAAAATAAAAGCGATTTAAAAAACTCAAATATACCTAACACTCGTCATAAAGGTGAAAATTCAATTGAAGTTCATGAAAATTCTATTGAAGTCCGAGATTTCAGAGATATTTATAAAGGTTGTTGTTAGATATAAACTGTCAGACTTCAATAGAATTTTCATCAGGGAATTTTAGGACTATAACCTTCGAATAAGATATTGATAATAGGTCTTGAAATTCTCGGAGGAATCGATGTACATACAAAATTAAATACACGTCCAACATAGAAACTCTTAATTTTCGACTTTGAAATCGCTTAAAAATACTTCTTTTGCAAAATAATTATTCATGATTTTTTTTAGAAATTCATTAATAAATAATTATCATATTCAAAATAATATCTGCAAATGTACCTAATTCTTGTTCGTATATGAAATACATAACGAGTAATAAAGATATTTATTTATTTATTTATTTATTTATTTATTTAATTCTTCATGCACAAAAAAGTACATTGGCGGACTTAACGCCTTAGGCATTCTCTCCCAGTCAACCTTAGCGTGCTGTGGGGAAACCGATGGTGGCAAGGTGCACAATGGAACTAAAGAATAAAGATTTCTTTCCAAACAAGTAGTTACATAAAAACTTATAATACATAAAATCTATAACAAATACATATATATCAATAAATAAAGATATTCCTATAAAGATATAAAGATATTCCTGGACAGTTTTCAAAGAAATCTTAACATCATGTAAATTATATGTAAAAGAAAAAAATATACTCATTATGAAGACGGACGATGGACGTCAGGCCCATTTGCACAGTAATAGTCGACAATTTACAACAGAAATGAGAATACACTAATATACATACATACAAGTTAGTAACCAGATGTTACATGAGTGATTTTGTGAAAATGTGTTTTTAATAAATAAAATATTTCTTTATTTTTTAAAGTAGATTTAACTTCAAAAGCTACAACTACAGAACTATTTTTGATGAAACTTAGACAGTGTCCTAAGCTGAAAATGTATTCATGGAATAATAATAAACAAATACGATCTTATATCTAAATTGCGAGAATGGGTCTATATAGTTAACACCATAAAAAACAAATTTTGATTGCGTATTTATTCATCACTCAACTTAAAAACATTTTTTTTTTACATTTACACGTCTTTTAATGACTGGAGGAAAATGTGTTACGCACTGCCCTGCTGTATACTGACAGTACCTGCAGGCCACTGACAGATGCGCATAGCGCAATACTTTAACTACGTCTCTAGACGTGACAACAAT